ATATATATTTACTTACTGTTTTGTATAATTATTTTTTAATATTGCAGCTTACACAAGCAAAAACTTTGCTTATACAAGATCCGAACTTCAAAAGGGGTTTTAAATTTGATTATGTGTGGGCTATAATGAAGGATTTTGAGAAGTTTAACTATGGCGATTTTGGAAGGAAAAAAACAAGAAAGCAAGACAATTCTAAAATATCATCGGAGCCTGAGAATCCTACCCCTGATTCACCCTATCTGTCATCTTCTAACTTATCATCATTCTCAGTAAATTTAAATGAGGATGTTGCAGGTGATTCCACATCATCACAACGCCCTAGTGGGGTGAAGAAAGCAAAAATGAAGAGAAAAATTGACGAAGATTATATGAAGACAATCCAATCAGAAAATAATCGGATGGTTGAGGCGATGAATAATGCAACCCAGGCAAAAAAAGAAGTTTTGACTGTTCAAAAGGAAAAAGTAAGAGTAAAAGAAATGAAAGAAGAAAACAAAATTTTAATGATGGATGTGGATTCTATTGTCGATCCGACTCGTCGTGAATTTATGCGACAAGAACGACAACAAATAATGTATAAAAAAAGTCAAGAATATTCACAGTCACAACCACAACAATCCTCAGCCCCATTCAGTCAATACTATAATGATTTTGGTGTATCTGGAAACGACATAGCTCCCTACTAAGTTATTATGCTATTTATCATAGTTTCAATTTTTATGTATTTTAATTTAATGTATTTTCAATTGTCATGTATTTCCAATTTTAATGTATTTTTATTTAATGTATTTTCAATCTTCACTTTTCAATTTTAGCAATATTTAATATTTTATATTCGCACCTTTCAATTTTAGCAACATCTAATATTTATATTTGCACCATTCATTTTTTGAGATAATTATATATTTTTTGTACAATTATAACTTATAATAAAATTAACTTATAATTTTACATAAAAATAATAAATACACAAAAATTAATTTATCAAAATTATACACCAAAATTAAGATATAAAATTAATATTATAAACACATTACATAAACATAATTAGGTATATATAAAGAGATAAATTAAAAAATTAAATAATAAAATAATAATAAAAAAGTGATGAATAGTAATTGAGGAGATGAATAGTGTACCCCCATATTTGAGGGAACACTATCCATCCCCCATTTTGGGGACAAAAATGGGGGATGGATAGTGTTCCCTCAAATATGGAGGTACACTATTCATCTCCCCCATTACTATTCATCACTTTTTTATTATTATTTTATTATTTAATCTTTTAATTTATCTCTTTATATATACCTAATTATGTTTATGTAATGTGTTTATAATATTAATATTATATCTTAATTTTGGTGTATAATTTTGATAAATTAATTTTCGTGCATTTATTATTTTTATGTAGAATTGGCAGTAGATGGAAATCAACGATTTCATGAATTTTTATTTCGACATAGAAGAATTAAGGACAAAGATGTTCATTTTGCACTTCGTAATGCATTAATCGATCATTTATGGGAGAATACTAGAGGTTGAAATTGAATATTTATCTTGTATTTCGAATGAATTTTATCGTTATGTAATATGTATTTAATTAATTTTGTATCACAATGATTTCTCTTTTATTTGAATTATTAGTTAATCTATAATAATTGCTTACAAATTATATTATTTAAAATTTTATGGAATTGTTTTAATTATGGAAATTACAAATAAATAAAAATAAAAGATGGAATTTGTTTAATGGAAATTAAAAAATAAAATTGAAATGAAAGATAATAATATAATATAGAAGAGATAGAAGAATATAAAAAAGTTTGGGGGAAAAAATGGGGGAATGGTTGGAGTAAGTTGTCCCCAAAATGGGGAAATCCCGATTTTGAAAACCAAAAATGGGGTAAAGGTTGGAGATGCCCTAAATTATCCCCAAAATGGGGAAATTCCCATTTTGTGGATCAAAATGGGGGTAAAGTTTGGAGATGCCCTAAGGGAATCCGAAACCATAATTTACAATATTAATTTTTTTTGTTTCATTTTCCGATTTCTTATATGGAAACCCCCTAGGAGTTTTGATTTAAAAACTCAACTTTCCAATTTCCACTTTTTCTTTTGTTTCCTTTCTCCTTTTGGGTTTTCTAAATGGAAATCCCATATGAGTTCGAATTAGGATTTTAAAAGCACGTTATAGAGTTTCCTATTTGCTTATTAATTTCCTAAACGGAGAATCCAACATAAATTAGGATTAGGCTGCCTATATATATATATTGCTATAACAGTTTTAAGAGAAATAGTTTTATCTAATTCTACAATATCTTTTTCTTCCTTTGATAGTCAAAAGAGAGTTTTATTGCAATATCGTGGTATCTAAAAAGCTACGGCATCATTGTATGTACCTTCTATTTGCCGGCAAAGCCACCTTCCAATCGGCCCTAGAAGTGCAACTAATTGCCATATTTTTTTTATTTTTTATTTTTTTAAAAATTTGGACCATTTCTCGATTTGTGCGTGTCATCCTTGCGCAGGGGCCATGTTAATCTTCTGTGTATCGTTCCAATTTTATCGGATGTCCCTGAAGGGACAACTAATTGCCATATTCAATCAACAAAAATTCAACAGAGTAGTACACCTATTTTCATCAGTTGGTCGTTTCCTCCATTAGAGTTTATCAAGATCAACACAGACAATAATTTTATGCCTAATTCAGGACTAGCGGGATTTGAAGGCGTTGCTCGAGATGATAAAGGGAGATGGATAGGAGGATTTTGCGGCGACTTAGCATGAGAGCGACATCAAATCTTACACCGGAGTTATGGGTTGTACATGGCGGTCTAACTCTAGCAAAAGATTACAACTTGAAAAAGATAATAATCGAAACCGACTCGAGTGATGCCCTAATGTGGCTAACTGTGGAAGGTAACGTGGCTAAAAATCACCCCGATCGAGTTGTGATGAAAGAATGCAGGAGCCTCATTTCCAAACTTGGAATTACTTTAGTCCATACTTTGAGGCAAGGAAATACTTGTGCTGATCACTTGACGAAGTTGGGAAGAACACAAAAAGAAAACTTAGTAATATTGCATAGTCCACCACATTCGATGCAACAATTACTTCTAGCGGACATGGCTTACGTAGCATACCTTAGGTATTCAAAGCATGTATCCTAGCGAGAGGGATAGGGCAAAATATTGTGAAGTTGTAACATTAAAAGAGAAAAGAAAATTATAACATTGAAAGATATTTTTTTGAACCTTATGATCATTATGAGTAATCTCTAATTATCTTCTCTCTGATTTTTCTGACATTTTCTTTAAATTGTATAGTCGTTGCTACCGTTTTTTTTTATCATTTATTTGGTTAGACTTCAAAAAAAGAATAAAAGGGTGTAAACTAGTATGTCAAAATTTATTCAAACTTTGTAGTCAGGAGAGGTCATTGGTTGGATCGCTAAAAATGTTACTAGTCTAAAGTATCCTAATAGCACATAGTTATGATTTAGGAAATTTTAAACTTATCTGAACATAAACATACATTTGGTAAAGTTGAAAGCATACATGTAGGGTTGTCAAAATTAGCTCAGTTTTTACTTACCCTACATTTGACGGTTTGGGTGAGTGATATTATTAAGGACAGATTAAACTTGAGAAGTAGTCTTTGGTGAATCATGCAATAATATATTACGATCTATATTTTGCTCAGCCTATTTGATCAACTCAAATTTGACATAATCTGCCCATTTGATACCCTAAGATACAAGTTTTATTTTCTTCTTTAGGTGCATATACAGTGTATCAGAGTCCATAGCGTAAGGTCAACGGCCCCAAAAGTTTCTGTGAAATGCGCCTTACATTGGATTTTGCAGGTGAACTTCGAACTCCTTTTAAAGTTTAATTATGCTTTTTAGCTTTAACTTATAATCTGTTTAATCTGACTCAAAAACTATGAAACCATTTCCTCACCACTCTTCAACACCAAAGAGAGAATAAGCAGCACTCTTTTGGTTACCTAGAAAACATAAGTCGCGAGAACACCAAAACAAAAACATTCGTGCCCTAAAAAAAATGGCCTTAAGGTTTTCATCAAACCAATATATATTACGTATTAACTTGTTGGGATTGACCTACCTGGACAACAATCATATGCCAACATGAAGGCACGAGGAAACAGCACAAAGATCAGACACTTCATTCCAAGAACTCTGGTTATTTAAACTTATCTTCCTGGTTTGAAGCAACATTTTGAAATGAGAAAAACACACTACAGCTGTTACGACTAGGAAATGGACTATCCTGCAATGCTGCAAAGTGAAGGACAAATAAAACAGGGTAACAACAATTCGCTTGTACAATGAGCAGATTAAAAATAAGTCAGATGAGAAATCGTCATTTGAGAAGCCAGAGCCATAAATGTTTCTCCCCCAGCGAAATGGACCAAACACGTAATAACACTAAGTAAACTTGAGCAGATGTTGGGGCAAACATCTACTCATTCAGTAAATTGGTCCCAAACTTGGTCTGCCCAAGCTGTATTATGGATACAGAATGGCAGGGTGAACTAAATTTATAAATGTTGAAAAAAAACTAAATTTATAAATCTCACACTAAGATAAGCAAAAGGCGTCCTGTCGACAAATAATACTATATAGACAACAACAGACTGCTGATTTATGCACTGAAAATACTAATAAAGTAAAAGACAAAACAATTGAAATAAAGAGAAAGGAAAGAAAAGAAATAGAGAGTAAGGTAGAGCCCATATCTAACAATTTTATAACAAGGCATCTGTGCTATATGTCCATAACACTTTGGCAAAATTATAGCAAGGCATTTGCTAGATGTCTATAAACAACTTGTCACCCTCATAGATTGATATAGGGCCAATAAATTAATACAATGGAACCAATTAAAACATTATAACGTGTGACTCGTTGGCATTGCACTTGTGGTCCTAAGCCAAATATCTTTCCAACTAAAGCTCCATCGAAAGCACAAACCAAGAACAGAGAACGAGAGATTTGATAGATGCAGAAACACATCCAATAACAAATAAACATATATACAAATCTCAAGACAAATGTTTGGTTTTATGCACAAGTCATGAATTATATGTATCCCAGTCAAATGTAGGTTGTGAGAACACCTCATAATCAGTCGGCCCTTCAACAATGTTGTCAACAGTCTGTATGCCTTGTAATAGAGCTGGCTGAAAAGCATCATTATCAGAAGGCAAAATTTTATACATCACTAACAACCCGAGTGTGAATATGGCTTGAAGCTTTGTTGAGTCTCCTCGTACAGAAAAGAAAAGTAGCATTGCCAGGAGAAACAAGTCAACACAAAACCTCATGATACTTAATACAGTATCCATCAACCTCCCATCATTACCGGCAGGGAAACCGCGCACTCTGTATACAAACAGGAAGTTGTACTTGTCAACCACATATCTGTACCCAAAGTAAACTGCACCAACAGGAACCACGAGAGGAGCAAATGAACAATAGATCAGGGTCAGGGCGAATATTGTCAAATTGAAAGCATAATATTGCGCAAAATCAAACTTTGGCTTTGGAACTGGTGAGGTTCGGCTGACTGGAGGATATTCAGACAAATCTTGTCCTGGGAAATCAATTCCATCTGGAGAGGAATCATTTAAAAATCCACTGCTGTCAACCACAGTTGAACTCCTTTCATGAATTAGAGGCCTCTCCAAGCTATCAATGTCTTGATTTTCCAAAGGATAGTCCTCGCTCCTTTCTGGTACCAGCTGAAGCATATCATTTTTTCGAAATTTTTGAAGCTGCTTCTTAATCCAAGGAATTGGAGCTAATAAATCAAAAGATATACCCAAGAAACTGCTTGTAATTAAAAATGCAAGAGACGAGAGGCATGTCCTTGTCAAAAAAGAAGCAGTCATGTACTGTTCAATCTTTTTGCAATCTTCTCCATCCAAATAACAGCGACCCATGCTTAATAGTGCACCCTCAAGTGATGATTCGACCAGGGCTCTAAGGAGAATGAGATTTACTAGAAAGAAGCAAACCATTTTCAGTAGTGCAGCCCTTTGC